CTATTTCACTGTCACATGTTTTTGCTCCTGATGGACTAGATGTTTGAGATTGCATTTTGCTTTTTTGTTTTGTCATTTTCACCTTTTGGACTAATATTTGGTTTTTCAATCCCAATAGTCACAACTGTCAGTAGTGTGCATCTCCTCTGTTGTTGATGTTTGTCCAGTTACTGAGTACCATATTGAAGAGGAGGGCCAGTCACCTGAATTGCTCCTGTGGGTCCTGTTGGTTGAGTCTTGTATTCTTCCTGGGTTGACTAGCCTAGGAGTATTGATGTAAGTCAACCCTTAGTTCCTGCTGTTGCTATGTCTTCAGGTTATTACAGGTCACTAGATCTCCCTGTCAATAATGTTTGTCTCCACTGAGACCCTACTGTGTCTCTAGGTGTCTCATAAGCCCTTATAATTTTCTCCAGTGTGGGGGACCCCTTATTGGCATTCTCCTCAATCTGCCTGATATTCTCTGTGTGGAGGAAGGAGTCAGGTACACCCTTGCTCAGCTCTTCAAGGTCTTACAGCTGGAAGGAGTTTCACTACTGCTCCTGTTTAACCTCTGAGGATCTCTGTTTTAGGGGCAAACTCACCTTACTGACTGGAGCCTGCTGAGGTCTTCTGTTTGGGTAAGGGGTTACTGAGTATCCTATAACCCAGTATGGTTGATCCACTGCAGTTCAATGTTCTGGGCGGGAGAGTGAGAGTCAAACATCAACAGCAGTACTTTGTCCAGGAGATGGGGAGGATCTCTGAGTTCAGAGAGCTGGTGGACCACAGTGGCTGATCTTGTGCCCTGCACACAGCAAAAGTGTACCTGGCACAAGGAAAGTTCAAGGGCATCGGGCAGCAATGTGGTCTGGCATGCCATGTACAGCCTTGTTTTCTTGATACAAACTTGGCTATTTTTTTTTTTTTTTGTTTGAGGAGCTCAAGTTGTCACTGTCACTGAAGATGACTGTGGCTCTCTTTGGGGGAGCTCTGGTCCTTACTTAGGTGCTGATCCCTCAGCCTGTTCATACAGATCCTTCATCCTGCTGATCCGGACTTTCTAGCTTCCAGCAATGATCCTTGGGCCTTCCCAGTGAAGATCCTTGATACAGATATGCATGAGACATTGTCACGGGCTCCAGATGGACTCATGGAGGTTATTGGCTTGGGCTCTAGCTCTTCAGCTGGACTCCTGCAGTATGTTGTGGTGGGATCCAGGCACTTAGCTGGTTTCTTTGGGTCTGTAGTGTGTGGACAGATCTCCTGAACTCTTTTCCCTCTGTCTTTCTGGGTGAATATTATAAATAATCTATAAGTTATGTGTCCTGTATTAAACTTTTTCCCTTGTAAGCCCTGGTTGGATGATGCGATGGTTATGGTCTAGAAGAGGTTAGTGTTAAGGTCAAGGTTCTTTCAAGCAGTGAATATACAGAACAGGTTTTGTTTTAGGATTCCTTTTTATGAATGGGAATTTGCATGTTAATCACTGTGGAAGAAAAAATTAGTAGGCTTGAGTAGTGTGGAGAAGGCACAGGAATTAATAGTAGAAAGCTCAGGTCTCTACTTGTGCCTCATGCTTGTTGCATACCCAAGGTCATAAAACACGAAAAAACAAAACAAAACAAGACAAAACAAAACTAGCTTCGGAACAGCTATTGCTGAGTTTGAATTTGAAATCTGTGACTCTACAGAATTTGATCTGTAGCTTAGTGTAAACATCTCAATGCCTAGCATACAAAACACATACAAAAACAGTGATGAATAAAATGGATAAAGAAATTAAAATATCCTCAAATCTCAACATTCTTAGATAACCATAGATTACATTTTGGTATCTTTTCACCATAAAGGAGGATATTAATTATGTATAGGTAGTAATGTAACATATGTGTAGTCAGAATTACAGGGCTTTTCAGTCAAGATTTCAGACAGCTTTGGATGACTGTCTATTAATTGTCAGATCACATTTTCAGGGTAGTTAAGTCTCAAAGCTGAAAATCAATAGTAGGGTGAGTAGCAAGCCACACCTGAGCAGCATATAATTCTGTAATTAATATCCTTTCTTGTACAGTTTTTCTGTTTCTGTAGACTTTCTAATTGCTTCCTATCCCCCCTTTTTTCCTTATATCAATCTCTTAACAAATTTCTCAGTATAGATGATTGTATCAGATTCTCTGTCTTTCTAAAGACCTCTTAGTCAAAATCCAATTATGCTTTTGTTTCAACATCGTCTGATTGTTTGGTGATTTTTTTTAGAAACCCAAAATTAGAATTTTAATACTTTTATTTCTGTTCATTGAATTATCTCCATTGTCTTTAGCATCACTGAAAATTCATTTATTTATTTATTTCATTTTAAAGAAAATCAGCAACAAGATACAGAGTAACCATAGTTAATACACAGCATAGCGTTATCTGCAAAGCACTGACTCAGAGTGCAAGATACAGGCATTTAATTGTCCAAACAAGATTAGCATAAACTTTTCTTTTCAATGAAGTAAAAGAAAGCAGTAGTATAACTATCTTAATTATCCTGTATGCTGGTAGTTTTCTTTTTCTGTTCTTTCTTTTCTACTTCCCCATCCCAGTTTCTCCTTCCTTTTGATCAGTTGCTTCCTATTTCACGTCTATTGTACATTTTGAATCTTCTTTACTCTTTCAGCATCTCAGTATGATGTTTACAGTATGATGTTTACAAATGTAAATCTGGTTTATTTCACTTATGAATATGGTCTCAAGTGGCATCCATTTATCCATAAAAGTCTCAAACTTATTCTCCTTTATAGCTGAGTAGTAGTACTGTATTGTGTAAAAAGACCACACCTTTTTCTACTTTCCTCTGGTGCTGGGCATTTGGGTTAAATACAACATGTAGCTATTATAAATTGTGCTGTTATAAACATGGGTGCACGTATATTGCTGTGTTATGATGTTTTTAATTTTTCCAGGAAGATAACTTAGAGGGGAATAACTAGGTTAAATGGGACCTCTAATCCTAAATTTTAAGGAATCTCCACACTGATTTCCATAATGGTTGCACCAGTCTACAGTCTCACCAACAGTGGAGAAGGGTTCCTTTTACCCACGGCCTCACCAGCATATTATTAGTTGATTTCTTGATAGCCATTTTTTTCTGGAGTGAGATGGAATCTCAGTATTATTTTAATTTGAATCTCTTAAATGATCAATGTTGACCACTTTTCATGTATTTATTTGTTGTTTGTGTTTCTTCTTCTGAGAAGTGCATATTCATCTCAGATGCCTATTTTTGGATTGGATCTTTGAATTTGGGTGTTCTGATTTTTTCAGTTCTTTATATGTTCTAGATATGTCCTTTGTCTGAGGGACGGAGGGTTGGGTGTAATTTTTTCCACCCTGTCAGTTGTCTTTCACTCTGTTGATGATTTCTTTTGTTGTACAAACGTTATTTTTTTAATAAGGTGTGCTACAAGTTGTTGATTCTTTGTAGTATTTTTCATGTGATCTGGGTTTTATTCATGAAGTTTTTGCCTGTCTTCAAGATTTCTACCCATTTTCTCTTCCAGTAGATCTATTGTTTCTGTTTTAATATTTAGATCTTTGATCCATTTTGACTTTAGTTTAGTACATGATGGTAGGCATGGGTTTAATTTTAATCTTTGGCATGTGGAAGCCCTGTTTTTCCAGCACCATTTTTCAAAGTGACTATCTTTGTTCCAGTGAATATGTTTGTCCCAATTGTCACAGATAAGGTGGCTGCATGTGTTTGGAGTTGTGTCTGCATCTTCTAATCTGTTGCTCTGATTGTCAGGCCAGTTTTTTTTCTAATATCATGTTGAGCTTTGTAGTATAATTTTGAATCAGGGATTGTGATGCCCCTGAGTTGCCTTAGTTGCCCAGGATTGCTTTTGCTATTGTAGGTCTCTTCTGGTTTCAAATGAATTTTAGGAATCTTTTCTTTAGTTTTGTGAGGTATGCTAATAGTTTTTGATTGGGATTGCATTAAATCCATGTAACAATATTGGAGCATGGCCATTTTCATGAAGCTTGTTTTTCCTATCCATGAACAAGTGATACTTTTGCATTTTCTGGTATCTTCTTTCATCTCCTTTTTCAGAGTACTGTAAAATTCAATTTGTAGATCTTTTACTTCCTTTGTTGGATTGATTCCTAAGTATTTCACTTTATTGGATCCTATTGTGAGGGGTGTGGTGTCCCCAATTTTTGTCTGTCTGAGTTTTTTGTTTGTGTACAGGAATGCTATTAATCTTCAAGTGCTGATTTTGTATGCAACCATGCTTCCGAGTTTGCTTACTACTCTAGAAGTCTTTGGTGGAGTTTTTGGGATTTTCTACATAGTGTATCATGTTATCTGCAAATAATGATAATTTAACTCCTTCCCTTCTTGTCTTTATTCCTTTTATTTCTTTTTCTTGCCTAATTTCTCTGCCTAATGTTTTTAGGTCTATATTCAATACAAGTGGCAATAGTGGATATCCTTGTCTTGTTCCTGATTTTAGAGTCAATGCTTTCAGTTTTTGATCATTTAGTGTGATGTTGGCTATTTGTTAGTCATAGATGTCTTTTATTAGATAGAAATACAGAACATTTATTCCAATTTTTGTAAGATTTTTGTCATGAATGGATGTTGGAGTTTCTCAAATGCTGTTTCTGCATCTGTTGAGATGATCATGGTTTTTGTCTTTGATTCTGTTAATATGGTGTGCTATGTTTATTGATTTGTGTATGTTGAATCATCCCTGAATCCCTCCTCAATTTTCTGTCTGTCTGTTTGATTTGAGATAGGGCCTCACTATGTAGTTCAGGCTGGCTTTGAACTTGCAGTGATGTTTATGTCTTAGTCTGCTGAGTGCTAGGATTACAAGTGTGAACCACCAAATCTGGATTACCCCTCATTTTAAAATTATATTTGGTTACATTCTTGTATTAGATAGCTTTTCTATTGCTGTTATATAGTACCTAACTTAGAGGAGAAGAGGTTTAACTTGACTCATGGTTTCCAGGGATTCTCTTTATAGTCTGCTCATGGTGGAAGTGGCAGAGCAACAATGCTTAGCTGAAAGCAGCGGGGAGGAAGAAAGAGGAACAGTGCCAGAGGAGCAGGTGCGAGGCCTGAGACATAGACCTCCAAGTCCTGACCCCCGAGATACACCAGGCACTGAAAAGTGTGCTCGATTAATTTCCTCAGCAGCTAGCTCCCAAGCCAACCGAGTTGACAGCTGCTTTAATGGTCACAGATTCATTCCCTCCCCATAAGAAGAGTAGACATTGCAACTCCTTGTAATTTCTGTTCTTTGTAAGTTTTATGTGATATTTGATGGTTATGTAATTGACAGGACAAATTTGAAGTTGAAGTTAGTTAAGATTTTTCTTTTAGAGATAGTAGGGTTTCCAAACTTTGTCCTTCTGAGTACCTAACTAATGCTCCCGCTTCTCCTCAGTCCTAACCTGCCCCAGGAGGTCAGGATCCAGTTTCCTTGTACAATGAAACTGAAAATGGTTGAGAATGATAAAGCAAGGCTTGAGAGGTGTATTGCCTCATAGTATTTGCCCTCTCCTCTGTTCTTTGCTTACTTTTACTGAATACAGATTGATAAATTCATAGGGCTTTATAAAAGTATGCAAATTCCCACAGCGTGGATTGTGAGGTTTCTAGGGCTTTATAAGTGTGCTATATCCCACAGTGTGGTCATCTTTGCATTAGGGCATGGCTTGGGGGGTCTTTTATGGCAGTCTCTCCTAAGGTGGCCTGCTTTGTGATAAAAATATCAGGTGACTCTACTCATCAAGCTCTTCTTGGAGCCCTGAGAATCAGACTGAAGGTCTCTTTCTCTTAGTGGAACAAACTCAGCTACTTTTTGTCTCTGTGCTTTCTCTCTTTGCCTTTCTCCCTGTTCTGGTTACAGAATACTAAGGAGGCAGGTTTACTAAAGTATCAAGTGAACTATCTGGACCAAAGGCTATTTTGGTAACTTTTTTCTAATATCAGGGGTTGACTGAGTAAAGAACATGTCTTTAAACAAAATCTGTCCCTCTGGTGACTCAGGATTTAGGGAACTATGTTTTATCAGTGTCTGTAGTTAATGACACAGTGAGGTGTGGCCCCCACTGTGAGGTCTGTGCCAATCAGACAGAGTATGGTGAGAGCTGAGAAAGGAAAAGAGGATATGGCTCAAACACTCTCATGCTCCACATAAATCACCAGCTCACTCCAGTCTCATCAGGGGCTGTCGCGTGTTATCACTGTTTTCCACATGGAAATGCACTTTCTACTTCATGTCAATAATGAAAAGCTTTACTTAGGATCTTACATTTATGAATATAAGGATAATCACACAGACTAAAAGGCAACAATGATCAGAGGAAAATTAAAAGCAAAGTGAACATTGCTTATGCACAGTGTAGTTAATGCCAGTATGAGAAAACAGAGCAGTTCCATAGCACTGTTTTTGATACGTACCTAAGAATTAATGACAAATTCACATGACTGAGCATTTTTTCAAGTCTATTTAATTCTCAGATTTTAATAAATATGTAGAATTGTGTGCCACAGTTAGATCACATTCAACTGTCTTCAATTCTGAATTCTATATTCAAATAGTGACCTCCACTGTCCAGAAAGATACAGGAAAAATGCAACCAATAAAAATCACAATGACAAATTTAAGAATGATATTATTTTTTTAAAGAGCATAATATATTTATTGAAAGGAAGAAAGCTTCTGTCTGAGAGAGAGAGAGAGAGAGAGAGAGAGAGAGAGAGAGAGAGAGACAGAGGAGATCCCAAGTGGGTTGCCAAAGACTATGTTTTCTAGGGACTTTTAGAGAGTAAAACCACAAAGTGAGGCAGGTCTAAGGTGGGGAGAACAAGGGAACTCACAACCTGGACATGAGGTGGGACAGATCTATAGTCAACCAATAAGATTAATTGCACAGGTAAAATATATTTAATTGGAGACAAATGGGAAAGTGAGTCACATCAGAAGCAGGCATGCTTAAAGAGCAGTGACTCCTCCTGGAGGGGGTTGGCATGGTGACTTTTGGCTTCCTCAGGGTGCTAGAGACCTAGCTGGAATATCACTTCCTGATGCTTACCTTTAAGAAGTCTGTGGGTGCATTTGATGTGTCTTTGTCTTGATGCCTGGCCCACAGCAAAGGTGTCAGTCTCCCCCACAGTTGCACGATATTTGGCCTTCTGCATTTTCTCCTTTAATGGCCCAGCCCTTTCCAACTGCCTGTAATATTTCTATCTAACTCAGTTGCTTGTAACAATCATCCCTCTGAAAAAGTAACCCAAACTGCCTTGAGGAATAATGGGCAGTGACCAATCTCACTTCTTCAGGCTGAAGGGGGTGATAATTGTTGTTCAGGCTGTCGGGGATACTCTGCAGAGGTCAGTTACTAGAAGGGAATCCAGCTGTCTGTCTGGTCAGCATTCCACTGGCCCTTGGCTTCAATGGGCATTTACTAAAGAGCTGCTGGGGAAACCTGTCCTCTACTTTAAGAGTGGCAGCTGCTGTAGGAGCAATTGACTAGCTGGCAGAGTAACAACTGCTTGTGAAAGTTCTCTGAGGGATAATAAAAAACCTGAGCAAGATCATTACCTAATGCTTTATAAATGTACATTAAAGTTTCAAAATGCACAACTTATTATTGAAGTATTTTCTGATACATATAAATGAAAGGTTGCAGAGTCTCCCTTAGTCCAAATGTGTTTAGGTCCTGTAAGTGTGCTGCTTTTGGAAATACCTCCTTCTAGTTTCACTCAGAAGATGGTTCTTTCCACTGAGTCTCAGGTTCAGTCTTTCGGGGAATACTAAAGTGGGGCATGGCTCTTATGTGTGTTCTTTTTTTTTTTTTTTGTCTTTTTCCTTTTTATTGGTACCAGGGATCGAACTCACGACTGCCTGCTTGCAAGGCAGGCGCTTATGCTGCTGAGCTAAATCCCCAGCCCCCTTACGTGTGTTCTTTTTGATGGGCAAAATTCTAGTTTTTCATCTGACCCAGAGAGAGGTATGTGTCTCTGATCTAAGATGACTTCCCTGTTTCCAGTGTTAGCAAACACTCATTTTCTATGGACTTAACTTGGAGAAAAAATTTGGAACAGTTTAGAGTTCTTTCTGATTTTACATGCCTCTGAAAAGAAAAGTACAAAGTGGGGGAAAAGATTAGAAGTAAAGCCAAAGAAAGGGAACTGAAGCACAACAGGTTTGATGTTTCCTCTAGAGTGTAGCTGAGGATTAGAGCCAGTCTGTCCCAGTGAAACCTGTTCTCCAAGTATCAAAGTTGGTCACAGCCTGGGGCTGCCAAATGGTGGAAGAGTCCTGGGTTTTATTGTAGGCATGTATATTTTCTAAGAATGAATTACATTTTATTTAAGAAGACCTATTTTACATAAGTTTATATTAAACTCCACCAGGGGTGTTCTAATGTTACTCTGTCTAGTGCTATTATCTAAGTAACGTCAAGCAAGGAGTACCAGTAAATTTAGTAACTAATCTGAATGTACCATGTACAAGAGCAAAACCTTATGACATTCCTATGTTTTAGCTTAGATACATCATCATTTTAACAAAACTATAGCAAACAAAGCATAAGCAGTTATAAACAATGGGCAAAGACATGACAAAATTTGAAGCATAAAAGTTTGTTACCTAGATGAGTCTCAGTCCAGAGTCTACAAAACAAAAGCAACCTCTTACCTTTGTCCTGTGATCTCAGTGGAACCCTCCAAATGATATGGGCAGGGGACTCCCAACCTGCTACATGTCTAGTGAGATTGCATTCTCTAAAATCAAAGAATGAATTTTATGAACAATAGAGGCTAAGAGCAGAATACATTTACTGAGAGAAAGAAAGCTTCCATCTGAGAGAGAGACAGGAGTCCCAAGTGAATTGCCCAGGGAGTTATATTCTATGAAGAATGAGTGAGAGAATGAACAACTTTAAAATGTAAAATTTAAGTAACTACATGTAATGGATGTAGGTGTACACTGTTCTAACATACACATGTATCTCTATTAGGAAAGTGATTTTGCATAATCACAGCTAGGTGTACAATATGGATGAGGAAGTATGTTAATTTTCTAAGTAAGCTGGAGTTCCATTGGTTCAAATAACCTGGAGAGGACTTATGCTTCTAACAGAGTCAGGCTAGGTACTCTGACAGTTTCTTATGACTGAATCCTATACCACTCATAGGCATTGTCTTTAACCTAACCTAGAGACATTCCTGATGAAATAGATCAAGAAGAACCAAGATACTAAAACAAAAGAAACTGGACTTGGAAAGAGATTTTAAAGGACCAAAGTACTTTATCAGTGGAGAATATCTACACAATGATTTGGTCCATAGAGAAGAAAATCCTGGAAAAACTTTATGGGTTTCAAACATGAGTTAGCAGTGGCACAGGCACAGTTGGGAAAATTTCACTACATGGTATTAGTTAGTAATCATGTAACACTAGCCCTGAGTAATCCAGTACTCAAGCCTGTAGACAATGTGTGCTTCTTAGGAAAAGATTTCAAGATTTATGTCAGAGTTCTCATCATAATTTAAAGGTAACATTCCTTTGGGTGGATTTTCAAAAATGGCAGCCTGCTAGGGGATTGGGTGGAGAGTCTTTCTGGAGAAATCATATTAGATGCTAGAATATGACAACATGGATAGAGCCAGATGAATGGATAATGATTCTTATTAACCAAGACAGCACGGCTGGAGGATTTAAAGTCGTGTTGAGACTGTGAAGGCTGATAATGGGAGGCTGCAAATCCCGTGCCTTTAATGCAGCAAACTGACCAGTGGATCCAATAGGAAAAGCTGTATTGGCTTTTGGTGACTGCTGGAAATTGAGACCTGGGCCCCCGTGAAGCAGCCAGGACTGCCCCGCTGCACCAGAGGAGATTGTGAAAAGCTCTGGAGCTCTGAAGCTGAATGCCATGCAGTTTTCTGACCATTCCATGCTGTGACAGGAACACAGTGAAGGCAAGCGGTGTAGTGTGCAGTAGACTCAAGAGGAAGACCTGCACTGAATCCTGGTGAGTACTAGGGATTGGGTCCTGTGGCTGCTGTGGTTGGCCAAAGGACATCTTGGAATTGGGCAGAGTCCGCCACCATGGGGACATCAATAATACGGAGAGCCTGGTGGAAGACATCTTAGAGTTGGTCAGAACCTGTGGCTCGATGCCATCAGACAGTCGCCCCTGGCATAGAGAGGGTTGGTAGAGGACATCTTGAAATTGAGCAGAGCCCAGCA